ACCTATCTTATGTGTTAATTAATAAACTTTTTTTGTGCACCGGATATCATTATTACCTACGACACCTGGCATTCCTAACGGACAACTGATATATTTACCATAACTGGTGACCCCTAAAGGACACGAGAATTAAGGATACCAGAACAACCAGGTACCATTATGAGCGATAGCAGTGAGTCGGCGAAAACCGCTAGTTCACATCAGAATACCAACGTGACCACACGGCGAAAACGTCGAGTGCGCGTTTCCACTGACCACAGAGATACGGAGGTGCGAATTTTAAAAATTAAAGTTCCTCCGTTTTCGCCCGAGGATCCAGAATTGTGGTTCGCCTTGCTGGAAGGTCAATTCGACAGCCATAATATCACTGATGACGTCATAAAATTTAATAACGTCACCAATAAGTTAGACCTGCAGTACGCAAAGGCCGTGAAAGATATCATTATCAATCCGCCGGCAAAGAACCGTTACGATAAAATTAAATCCGAACTAATAAAGCGTCTTTCCGCATCACACGAGAAGAGAGTCAAACAGTTGCTCACTTATGAAGAACTTGGCGACAGGAAGCCTTCACAGTTCTTGTGACATCTTCAAGACCTGGCTGGACCCTCTATACCTGATGACTTCCTCAGGTCGATATGGTGCAATCGTCTCCCGCACAACATTCGGACGGTACTGGCGTCACAGCCAACCCATTCTCTGGAGCAGCTGGCGGACTTGGCAGATCGCATCCAAGAGCTCGCGTCGCCTTGCAACGTCGTCACTGCGTCTCCTAGTAGTGTACACGCTTCTTCATCGCAGTCTAACGAGATCGCGGAGCTGAAGAAGATGATGCAGCACCTCACCCTGAAGCTAGAGGAGCATACTCGAGCAGCCTGCTGCTACTCTACTGATCGTTCGAGACCACGCGATCACCGTCGCTCACCATCCCGACAGCGGAGCCGAAGCAATTCCAGCTACCGAAACTACCCCATATGCTGGTATCACAGCAAGTTTGGTGCACAGGCTCACAAATGCCTGAAGCCTTGCGATTACGGCAAGACGGGAAACGGCGTGGGCAGTCGGTAGTGGCGACAAACGATTGCCCACCACACAAGGGTCGCCTCTTCATCACCGACCGCAACACGAACGCCCAATTCCTGGTGGATACGGGCAGTGACCTTTGTGTCTACCCTCGCTCTGCGCTTCGGGAACGACGAGCCAAGACCGACTTCGAGCTCACTGCAGCCAACGGGTCGATCATCCATTCCTTCGGCTTTGTCGAGCTTAACTTAAACTTAGGCTTAAGGCGCGATTTTGTATGGCGTTTCATTGTGGCTGACGTAACAAAGCCAATTATAGGCGTTGATTTCCTTAGCTTTTATAATCTAATTGTCGATTGCCGGAATCAACGCCTACTTGACAATACCACAACTTTGTCGTCAACTGCTTTGATTGCTAACTCCAATGTCTTTTCTGTTAAGGTTTCGACAGGTGACACGCGTTTCCACGCCATTTTAAGTAAGTACCCGGAAATTAAACGCCCGGCAGGTACACCGGTGTCTCCAAAGCACAACACAGTACATCATATCAGGACCACACCCGGCCCTCCTATCTCAAGTACCCCCCGTAGACTGGCACCGGACAAACTTAAAATAGCCAGGCATGAGTTCGAGCTCATGCTCAATAACGGCACAGCGCGCCCTTCTGAAAGTCCCTGGTCTTCTCCCTTACACCTTGCAGATAAGAAGGATAATGGCTGGCGACCTTGTGGCGATTACCGGATGCTTAACTCACGGACTATCCCGGACCGTTATCCCATTAAACACATCCATGACTTTGCCCACTCCATTTCTGGTTGTAAAGTCTTCTCCACCGTCGACCTCATGAAGGCTTACAATCAGATTCCGGTCTTTGAGGACGACATACCTAAGACCGCCATCACTACTCCCTTTGGCCTGTATGAATTCCCTTTTATGACCTTCGGGCTAAGGAATGCTGGCCAAACATTCCAAAGGTTTGTTGACGAGATGACGAGAGGCCTCGACTTTTGTTACTGTTTCCTTGATGATTTTTTAGTTTTCTCCAAGGACGAAGCTGAACATGAAACCCACCTTCATCAGCTCTTCAGCCGTATGAATAAATACAGCGTCGTCGTCAACACCTCCAAGTGCGTCTTCGGTGCACCGGAGATAACGTTTTTAGGTTACCGAATCTCTGCATCCGGCACCAAACCTCTGGAATCTAAGGTCCAGGCCATATCAGAGTTCCCGGTACCTAAGACTGTTAGACAACTCAGGCGATTTTTGGGAATGGTCAACTTTTACAGGCGATTTCTACCTCGTTCCGCCGCCATTCAAGCCCCTTTAAATGCGTTACTTGCTGGCAACATCAAGGCGTCGCACCCAGTTGACATTTCGGGTGATACCCTGTTGGCTTTCGACGAGTGTAAGGAAAGTCTCGCCAATGCCGCATTACTGGCACACCCAGATTGTCAGGCCGACCTCGCTCTGGTAACAGATGCGTCCGACCTGGCAATGGGCGCAGTATTGCAGCAATATAAAAATAATGTTTGGGAACCTCTCGCTTTCTTCTCGCAGAAGTTGAGTCCCTCCCAACAAAAGTACTCACCATACGACCGAGAACTCTTAGCCATATATGAAAGCATCAAGTACTTTCGTCATATGTTAGAGGCAAGGCATTTCGTGGTGTTTACTGACCATAAGCCACTAAGTTACGCCTTCAGTGAAAAGAAGGCAAACTGTTCGCCTAGACAGTATCGTCACCTAGACTACATTTCACAGTTCACGACCGACATTAGACACATTTCAGGCAAAGACAACGTCGTTGCCGATCCACTGTCANCTTCTGGAAGGAGAATCTTTACTGCGCCTGAAAAGGTTGAGGGTTCCTAACTCTCGCACAGAGCTTTATTGTGACGTCAGCACCCCTACACCTAGACCGTTTGTCACTAAAGACTTAAGAAGACAACTTTTCGACAGTCTTCATAACCTCAGCCACCCAGGCGCTAACGCAACGGCTAAGCTTGTTGCTGAGCGATTCGTTTGGCCTGGAATGCGCAGAGACTGTCGACAGTGGTCTCGTCAATGTCAGGCATGTCAACGCGCCAAGGTTCATCGCCACGTATCTTCTCCATTGGGCACGTTCGACCTTCCTCGCGCTCGATTTGCTTTTATTCACGTGGACATTATTGGTCCTCTGCCCGTTTCACAGGGCTACGGCTATTGTCTCACAGCGGTGGATCGTTTCACTCGTTGGCCGGAAGTCACACCCATGGCCGATATGACCGCCGAAACAGTCGGAAAGGCTTTAATATCGTGGATATCCAGGTTTGGATGTCCTACCGATATTGTCACCGATCGCGGACGACAGTTTGAATCGTCACTTTTCCAGTATCTTGGAATATTTATTGGATTCAAACATCGCAGGACAACCGCGTATCACCCTGCCTGTAACGGGCTAGTGGAACGATTCCACCGCCAGTTGAAAGCAGCCATAATGTGCCACGCTGATTGCAATTGGGTAGACACGTTACCTTTAGTGCTTTTAGGCATAAGGAGCGCGTTTAAAGACGACCTTCAGTCGTCTTCTGCTGAACTGGTGTACGGAGAGCCGCTTCGTCTGCCTGGAGAATTTTTCCAGGCTACCGCTCCGGATTCTACCGATATATCGGACTTTAACTATCGCCTACGTCAGTTCGCAGCTAAACTCCAGCCGACACCAGCTGCACGTCACAATGAAGACAACAAAATTTTTGTCCACAAAGATCTGACTTCGTCTAGTCACGTGTTTTTAAGGGACGATGCATTGCGTGGCGCTTTACAGCCACCTTACACCGGACCCTATGAAGTTCTCGAACGAGGTGAAAAGACTTTTAAGATACAGGTCAAAGGGAAGAGTGTTACTGTATCCATAGACCGCCTCAAACCAGCCTAAATTTTGATTAACCCATCCCCCGATTCCACTCCGACTCATACTTCCAACTCCTACCCTAGTTCTTTACCTTATCCTGTTCCCCCAGGGCAAAGAGCCCCAGCTCAGGGTGACGTCAGAAGAACACGTTCAGGCCGTACAGTTCGGTTTCCCGATTTTTATCGCCCGTAGTGACGGTCTCTGGAGGGGAGTGATGTAGCTATTACTCAAAACATTAACATTATAACACGACATTCACTTTACTATATCAGTGTGACATCATACATTGGAAACATACGACTCGGCGCGTATCACGAACGACGCGCGTGCGCAGATCACTCAGCGCCCCGCGTTAGTCGGTTTGAGATCCTCGGCCGCGAAGCCCGTGTCGCTTGCTTCCCGAACGCTTATTGCTATC